GATTGGCTCACTCCAAGGCGTTTATTCACCCTTCGAAGCTTGATACCAAACAGTCGTTGACCTACAGTAGGGATGAACTACGATGTCTAACAGGCCTTCTTACAGGTCACTGTCATTTGAATCATCATATGCAGAGACTTGGACTGTCGGAAGACAGTGTGTGTAGCTTTTGTCTGGAAAATGAAACCTGATTCGGTCCCCCGCTGGGGACCGAATCAGGTTCTTAGAGTTCCGGCAGTTTCGGGAGTTTAACTCATGTTAAATAATAAGAGATAATTTTAATATAATGTACTTTTTAATTAATGTAATGTTTAATATATGTATCACCAATATTGCCAAACTCACATCAGAAATATAACGAAACCGGTACAGACTACCACTTTGTAATATTAACAACCTAACTAAACTAAACGAGATAAAGCATGCAACTTTACAACAATTTTGCGTTCGGGAATCACCGGACCGGGTGATCACGAAATTTCAAGATCTTGAAATATCTCTTGAGTCAAGACAAGATATAAGACGTCAAGAAAACGTCAAGACAAGATTTTTTGAATTTCTATATTTTTCTCAAGGCAAGACAAGAAGTTGTTATCAAGACAAGAATTCTTGTCTTGCCGACCCCTAATCTCTCGAATACTCTTACCATCAACGCTGGTGTTTCCCAAGGATTCATATTATCTCCAACCCTCTTTTTATTGTATATCAACGACTTATTGAAAAAAACCAAGAATCCAATATATTGCTTTGCTGACGACAGCACACTTACCTCGTCATTTCATTGGATATTAATGAGAATCTAGAAGTGATTTCGAATTGGGGTGAAAGTTACGAGGTTCCATTCAATGTCACAAATATCCAGGCGTCGATTTTCTCTAAAAAGATTAATGTTTCCGAACCGGATATAATTTTTTTTTGGTACCTTGGGAGCTGTCTGACTTGTCCATTTAGTCCAAGTCTCCAGAAAACACTGCAGCCTCTTGGGCTTATTGCGTTTATTCTCCCATCTTCCCATGACACCCATTCCATCAGTCTCGTTCCCTGTACTAGTTTTTAAAGGTTCCGCGTCGGATATCATATTCTTCTGGGCGTAATTTTGTACGTCCATATATTGCCTGCCTCCTGTGATTCGGTGCCTCACATTCGCATAAGATGTGTAGAGCTATTTCTATCCCTTCGTTGCATAATCTGCAGGTGAGAACTCCGTTGTACAGCCCCATTTTATTCATGTGTCCTCTAAGCGGACAATGGCTGGTTAGTAACCCTGTAATTATTCTGAGTCGATCCCTACTACATTGAAGTAGTTCTTCGGTTCTTTTCTCGGACGGTTCCCTAATGAAGGTTCTACTGTGTTTGTTGCCAGGTACTTTTGTCCAGTACTGTGTGTGCTTCTTATTGGTCCATGTCCCAATCTAGTTTCGTATCAATGATTTTGGTACCCCCAGAACTGGTTCAGGACCTATATATGAAGTTGATGATCCGCGTCAAGCGCATTCATCAGCTTTATCATTACCTGTGATTCCTGAATGCCCTGCCCCAGTACAAAGTTAATTTGTTCGTGTTTGCAAGTTCATTCAGTTCTTCATGGCATTCCCAGACCAGTTTTGATGTTACCTTCGGGTTTGTCAGAGCCCCTAGTGCGCTCTTGGTGTCTGTTGTTAAAATATTGATCCGCTCATTTCTTTGAGGTCTCAATTTAATAAGCCTTGCACACTGCAAGATAGCATACACTTCCGCCTGAAAGACGGACCGGATATAATAATTTCAGAACAGACAATTCCGCTTTCTGCTTCGATAAGTGTGGTGGAAGTTATAATGAACACCAATATGTCTTGGCACAATCATGTCGCTAGCATTACAGAGACTGCTTCTCAAAAGCTTGGAACACTGTTCCGAAGCAGAAAACTGTATACAACTCAGCAACTTTTGATGCTTCATAAAGCTCAGATCAAACTTTTTTTGAAGTAGTGTTCTCATGTATGGAGCTCTGCCCTGAAGCTGCTGGATTCCATCCAGAAAAGAGCCATCTGTCTCATTGGAGACGCGAACATCACTTGCAACCTTGATAGTCTGGAACATCGAAGAAAGGTTGGAGATTTGTCTCTCTCTTTTATAGATACATTCATGGGAAGTGTTTAAGTGACTTGGCACATTTGATTCCACCAAGAGCGGTACATATCAGAAATACGTGACGGACTTTGGCTGCTCATCGTTTTGAGGTTCAACTCACTACAACTCGAACTTCACTATTCAAGAACTTTATCATTTGTTATATCGTTTATGTGGAGAACTGCGTTTATGTGGAATTAACTTCCTGAGAACATTTTTCCAAATGGATTTAATCTTCAGCGATTCAAATCCAATGTGAATCGCTACTTTCGCACAGGCACCTCTTCTAGAGCACCTTAAGGATTTTCCTGTAGTGCTTGTATTTTGCCCTTAAAAAAACTGATAACCAACATAAAAATACCAATTATTTTCTTATATCGATCATTTAAACTTCAGTTTCAAAAACAAAGCCACCATCTTTCATAATCCAAATTTGTATCCCGAGAAGAAAAGTCACTAAAGGTAAGACCAATCGTTTCAATTTTATAAGTAAATAAATGAAAATGTCAATAACATTTACTATTAAATATGACGACAATGTTTTTTCCTTATTAAAAGTTGTCCCGCTTCTTTTTTCATTTACAGACTTTCTGGCTTCCTATACTTTCTTCTTTTTCCGCATCACTTAAGATGTTAGGACATGATTCTCTTAGCGTATTATCATTACATCACATCATTAATATAAAGCACCGGCGACTGCCTTTAATTCTGATAGATGAAAACAAGAAAGGCATGCGACATTTCCGGATCGTCGATAAATTTAGCCCGAGTCAATTCCTAGGGATTAAATTTGTCATCCTAGTTCTGAGAGGAAGCATTCTTGGAAAGCGCCCAAAACGTCAACGGCTCGCATTTACTGTCGCCAAAGCTAGTTTTATGCAACTCAAAAGCACTTTGTGACAATAAACAAGGCACAATTTTAAACAATCTCGAAACTTGACATAACGCGAACACATTGCATAAGGTGTTGACTCGAAAAATGATCGAAGAATTTTAATCTTCGGTTTTGTAAACAAACGATTTGTTTTTCGATGATTTGTAATGTATCGATGAATTATATTTGAAAAAAAAATGCATCTCTCGGCCAGACTTTAACAATTCATAAGGCGCATATACATTTATATCAATGGCTCGTAACGTAACCGCGAACACATTTCGTTACGGCTATTTTATACGAGGTATCGTTGCATTTTTATCCGTACCACTTTGACGTGCGTACTCGTAAGGTGCGTATCCATTTGTAACAAATGGCCCGTAACATGCCCGCTAACAAGTTACGTTACGGCTAGTGGTGACGTTACGGTTAGTGTTGTGCGCCGTAAAGCGCGTATCCATTTGTAACAAATGACCCATAACATAACTGCTATTAGGTTACGTTTCGGCTAGTGGTGACATTAAGGCTAGTGATTGCGCATTGAGGCGCGTATCAAATTGTAACAACTGATGCGTAAGTTAACAGGAAAGAAGTTACGTTACGACTAGTGGTGACACGGCACTGTTGCCTTTCCCCACACTTTGATACGCGTACCCGTAAGGCGCGTATCCATTTGTTACAAATGACCCGTAACATAACCGCTAGCAAGTGACGTTTCGGCTAGTGGTGACATTACGACTAGTGATTGCGCATTAAGGCGCGTATCAAATTGTAACAAATGACGCGTAAGTTAACAGGAAAGAAGTTACGTTACGACTAGTGGTGACAGGGCACTGTTGCATTTTCATCCACTCTGACACGCGTTCCCGTAAAGCGCGTATCCATTAGTAATAAATCACCCGTAACATAACCGCTAACAAGTTACGTTACGGCTAGTGGTGACGTTACGGCTAGCGGTTACGTTACGGCTAGTAACATGCGCCGTAGGGCGCGTATTCATTTGTTACAAATGATCCGTAACATAACCGCTAACAAATTACGTTACGACTAGTGATATGAGCGGTAAGAAGAGGGTTCGACGACATAAACTGTAGGGTGCCATATCGAATAATTAGAGGATTCTTGGTATACTCGAATAGGAGATACGAGTAGCTGTTTCGAATTGAATTTGAGAATTTGCAGAAAATGCAGGTACCTAGAAAAATTTTTACAGAACTTCGTAAATAATAAAAGAAGAGTAGTTCTTTTCTTTGTTAATGAAATTAACACATGATAATTTATAAACTACAAGAAACCCTACGTTCAAAATCTCTTTATGCCGCAAAAATATCTCTTTATCAAACATTATCGAATTTTCGAAAATATATCTATCTGTTCGTATTTAGTTATGTTATAGGTAGTCAGTTTTTGAATTATTGTTTTTTCCCTGCTATAAACATTGTATGTTTCTTGGGAAAATAAATCGTTATTATTATTATCATCACTGATCAGGATGATTTTAAGAGATTTTATACCTATTGAATGTGTTTATTACATATAAAAATGAAATACATAAATATAATTTATTATAATTCCAAGTATAATTCAATTATAATAAAAAACTCGAATTTTTTCAGGAAAAGTAACTTGAAAATTGAAATTGGATATTCTGAATCTTATTTACAAAATAGTTTATTGTTTTCCATTTAGATTTAAAATAATTTTTGAAGTTGAAATTTGGTATTATTTAATATGTTTTATTATTCATCTTGAAAATATACCTAATAACAGTAATGGACACTGAAAATTAAGATTTTTGGAAAATTAAAATTCCTCAATACGAGGTATTTTTTGTATCTGAAGATTGTTATGAAATAAGTGTTATCTAATACAACCCAGAAAGTTTGTTTTTATTGGGAATTCTGATTCACATATCGAAATGTAATTCATCTAGAAATCCACCTGCTCCATCCAACCCTGTCTTGAAGGAATGCAGTCCCTCGAATCTTAAAAACAAAAACAATAAAGTTAACCTCACCTCTCGATCCCCGGACTCTTCGCCAAAAATCTCGATAGAATCACAAAATTCATAAACACTGATCACAAGACGGTACTTTTCAATGAATCTGAAGGTAAACAATCCAGTGTTTACTATTGTTTACAAGTTTTAAAACAAACCAATGTCCACGCGAATCGAAATACCGCTCTGCGAACTATTGTTGGCTGTAGGCGCACTAGACGAGCCAGTGCGTTGTGTAAGTCAGATGTTTTGAATCTCTTTCTTGGTTTTTGTTACCGTCTCTGTCTCCCCACGGTGGCCGATGCGGAGGCCGAGTACTCGGACAAACTTCGGCAGCCGAAGAGTCGGTTTTGATCCAACAAAATTAGGTAATTCAATCTTCTTCATGGCGCTCTTATAGTATGTAAAACGGTTGAAGGATTTATGAGGGGGAATGGGAATAATGTAAATGTTCTACCAGTTTGACCAATATGACCTTAGGACACGTTCCACACTTTGATTTATATACCCCTGATTTCTCGAATTTAGATGTTTTGTCTTTATTATTTTCAACTAACTTTCCCGACGTATTACTTGTTCTATATGCAATTTAAATATCTCGTTTCTCAAAAATTGAGCCAAAAATGACCAACTGGATTCGAATAGATCACCACTATTGAACTTGTTTTCTTGAGAAAAAACGAGGAAGTATTATTATTGATGTAAAAGTGAGGTGATATGCTTCAGGTAATCATAATTGAGGAGGTACCTCGACACGTATTTCGATCACCAAGTGATCATCTTCAAGAGGTAGATCAAACTGAAAACGTATTGAAGCAGAAGGCGGAATTGTCCGTCCTGACATTGTTATATCCAGTTCGGAGACATTTATCTTCTTGGACAAACCCTATGAAAACAATTTATAAATCAAGAACGACTGGACCGATTTTCATAATTTTGGATTTGTCTAACCTAACTATTGAAGCATTTTACAAATGGATAAAAAAATGAATAAGTTAACGACTTTTGGTTTATTAGGATATGACATTCGTCAGATATTCATCACAGTTTTATTTACAGTGCCGTAAGCGAGAAGTTCGAATCCTTTACAACGAAGCCGTAATACAATTAGACTGCAGACTATTGCGAATACATCCACTGCAGATGAAGAAGAAATCGCAGAAGAGGAGCGACGTGTTCAGTGTTGCCAGTTTTTGCAGTAGGTCTCCTGCTACTGTTCTCAAGCTACTGTTTTACTGTTTGAGACTTAAAATCTTTCTTTACTCGACTCACTTTAATACACATAATAATTATTGAATGACTACAAACAGTGACAATGACCATGTATGTATCTAAAATGCACTCTTACTAATGTTAACAACCTTACGATTTGATCTCCAATGTTTTCTTAACACAAAATGTACTGATAGGAATAAAAATAAACTAGCAATACTGGTCGTGTTAATATGGCCCTACTTCGGGCTTCACTAGACACAATGAAAAAGTTAACATTATTCAGCTAATATCACAAACGTCGTAACACTTTTCTTTTACTGTTCACTATGGAGAAATTCGAGGTAGGTAATTTTAAGGGCCACTGGGTAGACATGTATGGCAGGAGATAAATAATCATCTTCATTTCTTAATTTCGTATATAGTTCATAATACATAGGTACTTCTTACCTCTACTATTGAGGTAAGCAAGTTATGAGCTCAACACTTTCTTATAATAATATTTAATGAATTCAGTTTGAAGTTCGAATAACATGTCCATTTGAGTGAACTAGTGCAGAGATTTGCAAAAAGTTGTACGCGTTTTATGGTAAGTTTTTTCAAGTAAGACATTCATGTTATTATGAAATGTGAGATTTTTAAAAAATGAGAAAATGTCGACTACTTTCGAGATGATTTAGTTATAAAGTTGTTTTTGATTTTAATGTTTATTTTAATATACAAAATTTTCTGATTGATTTGGCTGATACTTGATTAGGATCCATAGTAATTTCATAAACTACACCTTACAATTTGATCCCTAATCAAATCTAAAGGTGTAGTTTATGAAAATATACAAAATGTTTGTGAAGTTTTCTTTATACTTTTTTCAGCAACTATGAAATATAAGTTACGGTTATATGTATATGATTATGAATTTTTATCCACATTTTTGTGAATAAGAATATCGTATCCGAAAGATGCACCTACGTCAAGGATGAATATAAGAAAATAGAATGGACTCTTAGATAGCTTGGAGTAATAGGGGTGTGACCAGGTCCGTAAAGATCGGAAAAAATGAAAAGAAAATGTTTACTGTATGTAATGTAGGCCTTGATTTGAGACATGTAACATCGACAAATGTCAGTTAATCTGTCATAGACTACGCCTCTAAGGTTGCTTCATTTAATAATAATAATAATATCAGTTTTATTTTCTTTTCAATTGCTGTAAACATAGACATGTGAGGCAGATACTACGATATATCTGCTTTAAAACGCTCGTTTTATTTTTTTTATTCATAACTTCTTCAAGAAATTTTGATTCAATTGCGAAATTGTTAGAATATACAGCTAAATTCCTGTATAACCCGATATTTGATTAGAATTTTCCACAAACCCCTGTTCTTGGAATTATCAGTCGAAACATTGAATTGTTGTGAATGGATATCACTCTGTATTTAAATCTTATTGATACCTTGACCTGGAAGGATTGAGAATAGTCTAATAAATCGACTTAACAGGTAATATTTATTTATTTCCTAATCTCATAATCTCATTTCAAATAATGGAATTCCTTACTAATATTTTTGGCACATTATTATCGTTATTTGAATACGTTCTCTAACATACTAGAGCCATCTGTTAGTTGGTAGAAGTAAATGAGTTTTGAAAGTTACGTAACATCATCTTTACAGATTCGGGTGAAATATTTGAAAACATTTCTAATCAAACAGCAGAAAAAATTGATTATATTAGATTGTTAATATTATGCGAATCTATATCTTCATATATCCGTTTGATTGTATAGGACAATTGCAACCACATAAGCTGTTATTATGTAGTGACCTCTGCTAGGAAGTGTTCCAAGGTATAATAGCTTCAGTTGAATGAAAGAAGGTGGCACTGTTGAACCCACCAAGCAGCACTGAAGGGTTCTGATCCAGGATATTTGGAAAAGATCTGAAATTATTAAAAAATATCCAATAAAGAAGGGATTTTGGGGGAACTCTCTACATTTCCACCGTTAAAATAATTTTTCCTTTTGAAATATGGGCATGACTGTATAGGAACGTTGCCTACAAAAATTTATCCAGGATAATTATAACAAGCCTTCTGAAACGACTGCCATCATTGATTTCAGCGGTGCATCCAGGATGTTTGACTAAAAGGTTTACGTATTATGTGGGAAATTTTGGTGAGAAAGGCGACTTTTCTACTAATATTGAAATTTTAATATTCGTAAAGTCCTCTGATTTCGATAAAAACTCAAGCGTAAGTCATTTCATTTACAAAATTCATTCTGACAAGTAGTTTAGTTCAATGGCTACCCGTACGCCATAGTCGAGGTGCCAATTCTTTAATACTTTCATTGATATGTTGGTCGTTTTTTAGGTCTAGTCGGGGGATGATATTGTCAAATAAAAAATATGAAGCGATAGCATCAAGTCGGCATTGTTGAGGTGTGAATAGAAAAATATTATTTCTTTGTGTTGTCAACTCCTCACTTGACCTTGAAAATACTTAACCTTTTGGAATGTCTGGTTGCAGCTAACCTCATAGTTTGTTTACATTTTACAAAATCTCAGTTCAATACAAAATAACCATCCAACATATTACCCAACATGATGAACATTTAATGATAAACTATTTACCAATAGTAATTTGTAGACTTCCAAATGGAGAATGGTTTATTTTTAATGCTTTCTGCAAACTCAATAAAAATTGCTGACTTGGTTTGTTATTTCTAATATTTCTAATCAAATTTGTAACTATAAAGTAAACCAGCTGAATGTTGTAGATATCAGCTGCTGCAGATATCATATACTGGCAAAAATGAAAGTCCAAGCAATAAGAATTAGTTCATCAGTATGCTTTTCATTTCTTGAATTGCCTTGAGAGGGATGAAACTAAAGCAAAGAACCGAAAAGTAAAAAAGACTTTCTTGGATGGGATGAAAAAGTAGTAGCTAATAGTTAACGTAGGTTTATAGAGAACTTTGCTTCAGAAAATTCAGCTTGTGATCTTAATCATATACAATATGTGCAGGGATGCAGTAGACAAGAGGAGAAGCAAATCACAAATTTTATTTTTCATAAAAAAGTCGCTTTATGAAAATATTGTTGCGGAAAAGAATCTAATTGTCCATACGAAGAAAACAAAATTTTATATGGGGTGTCTGAAAAATTAAAAATTCAAATTTCTACACAAGGGTAAGTACCCTCATTTTGAAGTTTTCAGTGAAATGCTATTTATTAAAACTAATCGAAATCATCACATCTTCTAAAACATTGGTTTTCCATAAATACGGAAAGCAATCATCAAAATCTTACTTACTCCCTACCCACAAACAAAAATCTTTTTCCATCATCACCTCGTAATCTGCGGTTATAATGGAGTTGGTATGGAATTATCTTATTTCGCCTTGAATTTATTTGATTTTTAGACTACCTGTAGCTGTAGCTATTCACGCCTCAAGTATGGCGTGAATGGACTGCAGTACGAGTAGATACGAGTAGAGCCTTTTAAAGTTGTTTCAGGTCTTGGGAAATAAAGGTTTTGGCTGTTGTTATGCAAAAAAAATTAAAATATGTCTCTTATGGAGCCCGTTTCACAAATTTTTTTGACAGATTTATGAATCTAAAAACTTCTCCAATAAGAACTTACTTGTCAATTCTCATTGTTTGATATACAAAATCAAATGAACATCTACCAAAACTTTCAAGAGAAATGTAAATTTGAAACAAAGAATTATTGTAGTCCAAATTTATTGGAAACCAATATTTTAAAAGATGTTATGATTTGAAATAATTTGCAGGAATAGCATTTTGTTAAAATACTTCATTTTATTGTAAAAAAAATATTTTAATCAGTTCAAACACCTTGTATATAATTTTGTTCTTCACATTGATGACATTTCTCATTTTTATAAAGAATGATTTTTCTTCAAAAAAAAATTTGTGTTTCTCTTGTCTACATTGCAGGACATATTGTATAGTATTCCAATAATATATTCCTACTCTTGTGATAAATGTATTTTCTATACTTTTCTATTTCACTAGATTTTTCTAATTGAAAGTTATGGTGGCTTGGTTTTCCTGAACTGGATCTAACGTAAAAGATTATTTGCTATCATCAGACGTGTCTATTGCCATGTGATAGTGACATATTTCTCTGAATATTATATCTGGAAAACTCTATAACCTCAAGAGTTTATTGAGCTTCAAATTTATTGATTTTATAAATGCGATTCATAACTCAAGCCAGACAATTTTCAGTGAAAACCTATCGTTCCAGAAAAGGCCTCCACAATACAGGTGTTCTCATGAATGGAACTAACTAGGGAGCTACCTTCTGATCAATTCTCCAGAACAATGAATTAAAACGTTTGATTAAGTCTGAATTTAAAAAATATAAAAATAAAACAGAAATATTCTTAATAAAATCATGCTTTTGTATGATCTACAAACATATTAGGTTGATATTGATATTATGTTATTACGTTGATGTATATTGTATATTTCTAAAATTGTGATAATTGTGTATCTAATTTTGTGAAGTTTATTTTTACTGACATCTAATGGTTGGAGATTATTTTTGTTTTTCAACAACAGTGATCAGAATGGTTGTGGATCTGCCAGTTAGATCTTTCCACCCAATAAAAATGCAACCCACTGGTATGAACCCGAAGGAATTGTCTGACAATGATGATATCGCTACATCACTGGTACTGGATCCTCATCTGGGGTTCACAAGCCACAAAATGAATGTTCGATTCAAGCCACCAAGAGCAAACAATGCCGAACTGAAAAATATTATAGAAGAATTCATCGTCAATCAAAATTATGAGAAAGCATTTGCAAAGATACAGAAAGGAGATTGGATGACTAGGGTCAAATCGAAAAATCAGCAGAAAAAATTAGAAGAACACGTAAGTCATTTTTTCAGTAGCTACAAATTGTCATTAATATGCAATAAAAAGTGATCTGGTAGGTGATTGAATAATTTTATTCCCATATATTTGGGTGACTGTTCAAATTTAGAGGATCTGTGTCTAGGAATACTTAACAATTTTCCATTGCTGGTTGAGTAACTGTGGTAAGAAGAATTTGTGTTATATTTTGTTAAATTATCGTGGATGTATAGTAAGTATTTAAATATGTAAATACAAGGGAATGACAGGATTTGATATGATATGAAGTGATGTTTACACGATTCTCTCCATGGGATATCAAATAATTTTCTGATAATTTTTTTTTTGGGAAATAAAAACCCTAACTTTGTTGGTGGCATATCCCCAAAGAACCACGTTGTAGCTTAAATGGCTGTAGACCAAGCTATAATATACGTCCAGCAAGGCATCCAAGGGCATAAAATGTTTTATTCTGGAAAGAGCATAGTACGCTTGGTTAACTTTTTTACAAGTGACTGTAATGTGTTCAGACCATCTTAAGCAATCATCCACATAGACTCCTAGAAATTTTAAAAAATTCGTTGATACCAATTCCACCCCTCTAATATCAGAGACAGTAGGATGTTTATCAAGACCGATGGAAGAACTAAAATGAATACATTTTGTTTTATTCAAGTTAACAATCAGATTGTTTAACTTGCACCAATCTAAGAAGTTTGTTATAAACCTTTCCGTTGATGACTTTAATTCCTCTAGGCTGTGTGCTGAGACCGCTAACGAGGTATCGTCAGCAAAGAGAGTGAGACTATTGTTGTTGATGTTGAAGTATTTGGGTAGATCATTGACGAATAATAGAAAGACAGAGCCTTGAGGAACTCCTGAACTGATTGGTTGAGGGTCAGATAGTGTATCTTTTATTTTTACCAACATTGTCTGAAAGAAAATGTTTGAGCCATTGTAAAAATGCACCCCTAAATCCTAGATTAAAAAGTTTGGTTTCAATAAAGTCATAAGATAGACAGTCAAATGCACGTGAGAGGTCAAAAAATGTTCCTGTCACTTGCATACCATTGTCTAGGGAGTTATAGATGATTTCAGCAAAACTACGGGCAGCTGACTGTATAATTATAATTTTGCAAAGCGCTTATTATCCATAAATTTTTAGGATATTTAAACGAATTTTTGATCAAAGTCAAAGACTTTCGACACCAGAAAAAAACATTGTCCCTTGACGTGTGGAGACAAAAAAGCTCTATCTTCTATAATAATCGCATTTTATTAGAATGATATGGAATCAATATCAGCTCTTATTTGAAATATTTTCATCTTGTAATTCAGTGTCATTCTATTCTATCACTTTATACTTTCAGATTTATCGATACCTGCGAGTATTCGATAGGGAGTCTGGTTTTGTCATAGAGCCCTGCTACAGGTACTCATTGGAGGGTCAGAAGGGCGCGAAGATATCGGCCACTAGGAAGTGGTACAAAAATGAAAAGATCGAACGTTTAGTGGGCTGCATAGCAGAATTAACGGAAGAGGAGGAAAAGCAGTTGTTACACTCCGGTAAAAATGATTTTTCAGTTATGTACAGCTGTCGAAAGAATTGCGCCCAGTTATGGCTGGGCCCAGCAGCATACATAAACCACGATTGTCGTTCCAACTGTAAGTTTGTTGCAACCGGCAGAGACACGGCCTGTGTGAAAGTGCTGAGGGACATTGAAGTGGGGGAAGAAATAACCTGTTTCTATGGTGAAGACTTTTTCGGGGATAAAAACTGCTATTGTGAGTGTGAAACGTGCGAGAGAAGGAATATGGGGGCTTTCGCGAAAGAGACGGATCAGAAAGAAGAAAACGGCTACAAACTGCGTGAGACTGATAACCGTATAAACAGAACTAAATGCAATCTACAGGGTAGCAAAGTTTCGAACAATTGCCACGAGCGCTTACAAGAAAACGGAAAGGTGGCTACACCTCTCAGCATCAAGGAGATGCGCCAGAAAGGTCTAACCAAATATGATGCCGAAATGCTCATTGCGCAGGGCTGTAAGTTTTCCGACCTCGGCGACTTTGGGCGCAACAAAGTTTCTTCCACAGTTAAACAGACTAAAAAGTGTAACAGAAGTAAAAAATATGTGATAAGGGAAGACACTACGCTTAGGACAGTCAGTACCAGGTCTTCTAGGATGCAGCAGAGGCAAGCTCGGCAGGCTAATCAGGAATTGATGCATGCAGCGACGCGACTTGTCTCGCGTTCAAATCTCTTGGACGATTTGCAGAGCAACGCCAGCAGTTGTCCAAGTACTTTCAGCGATACAGATCCCGTTTGTGAGGCATCGCAGCAAGATAAGAGGTTTGATGAGAATCATGAGACTGGAAATGGTATACCTCCTAAAGGTAAATATATTTTAATTAAAATAATTTATTTAATGATTTTGGTACAATAAGTATATATGATTAGTCACAAAACCACATAACATCGAATCCATTTTTGATGAAACTTGTTTCTTATTAATTGCAGACGTTCTGAAGTATTTAAAACAATTTCTAATCATTTTTCCCAGAACTCTAACACTCTTCTTGATACGTGTTTCACCAACCAAGTTAGTGTCTTCAGAAGATGAAGAAACTAATTACTACTAATTATAATAATAATAATAATAATAGGTCTTCATTTACAAATATACAATGAAGGAGAAATAGATCCTGTTCAGAACAAATGAAGTATGTATATAAGGAAAATAGGGAGGTGTCAGCTAGGAGTAAGGTACAAAAATACACATTATTTTCAATGTTTTTTAACCTAACCTTGAAGATTGTACATAAAAATGTATTTTAACCCATAACTATACAGTTACAATTATTCAGAATGTACCAAAAATAATTATTATGAAAATAAATGTAATGGCGGAGAGGAGTATTGCTTCTTTATGCTATGATAGCAGTATGATAAATAAATTAGCGTTGAGAGATAGTAGATTGATATATTATTCATGCTATGACGCAATGTTGTTTATACATTTATACATGGCCAACATGGCTTTCTTGAGACTTCATAGGAAGAGCATTACTTATCTAACTGAATCCGAAAAGAAAAAAACAATATTATGTGTTTCGAATTCACAACATCATTATGAAGGGAGAATATTATATATTTTTATTTCAAAGGAACCTAAATATGATGTTTGTCTTGTATAAAATTTGCTATTTGATGAGAGATTCTTCAATCGTTAAAACTCTAATAACTTAAGTAACCAGTGATATTTTTACCTAAATATTACTGATTTGATTTCAACAACTCAACACTTTGACCACTTTATAGCAATGTTTGATTTTATATTGAAATTTGAACATATCATTTTAAAATTTTTTTAGGCTGCAAGGTAACAAGTAATATGATGATAAATTCTATCTCCCTTTTTTATTTTGTAGATTTGAAGTGTGGGAAGAAGTCAAGACTAAATACGAATTCACAGCATCTGTAAGAGGCTTGAATTGACGAAATGTTTAAGATAAAGATTAAGTTTGGTGTTAAAAATCGTGATAATCTAATATTTTGTAAGTATACAAATTTTAAACTGTCCAGGGTACTTTCCTTCTTTGATTCATTTCGAATACTATCAAGTTATGTTCTATTGAAAACGTTTTGGTAAAGTTTCCACATGTACAAATACTTGTACTATACTCCTAAAGATACTACCTTGGAGGCGTCAGTAAAGCCTCTAACCTAAGGCTATTGGAGCGAAACTACAAACTGTGGCTGGCCTCTGTTGATGACTCTGTACATTTGTATTGTTTCCTGCAACTAAGTGTTGCCACCTTTGCACTCAGCTACTTCATACTGCTGATACCAATGAGTCAGAAACAGGTGTCTACGATTTGAGTGATTTGTCCACAAATTTTCTTCATTTTAATTTGTTTCAAAAGCGCTCATGAAATCATTTCGTATGTATGTGTGTGTATGAGTGCTTGTGTATTTATGTGTATATAAACATTGTTTTTTGCGAGGAATAAACGTTGTTATTATTATTACATAATTTGAATTCACATTTTGCTCAAAAAAAATTATATTTACTCAGTGTCTGAACCTTCAACATCAATATTTACTAATTGTATGCCTCTGAAATGAATTGATAATAAACATTGTTGTTCCAGACTCAACTGAAGAAAACGCCAAAACAACACCGGGCATAAAATTACGAAACCACAAGAGACTAAATGATCCAAGCATAGATTCAACGACACTGCCAGAAGAATCTCCACTCGATGACTCGAAACACATAACACAAGTTGACTGCAATCAAAATGGTATGACAGAATTAAAAATGGATTTCGACATGTCCCATATTGAGGACCCAGCTCTGATGAAGGCGGACATGATGAGTCGCCGAAAAACCAGAAATTCAAATCGATCCACTACCCCTATCGAAGGGGCAAATTGTGATGATAAACGGGTCGAGGAGGTGAAATTAGAGATCAAAGCTGATGCAAAGCTTGAGGGAGAAGTTGAAATGAAACCTGAGGGCAGAGTTGATGTAAATCCCGAGGGCAAGTGCAAAGGCGAGGATCCTTTTATAGACGATAGGAAATGTGACGTATATGAGTTCAACGAAGAGGACACTTTGGATACAGTAACGTTACGTAAAAGCAAACCTGCTCAGGAACCTGATATCGACCCAACGATCGTCGCGAGAGTAAAGTCTGAAGAGGAAACGGAAACTGCCAGCCGCCCCGTCGATGCTGTGAAAGAACAAGACTCACCAAAGTGTGTTCAAGTGGATGAGAAGACCCCCGAGAAGTGCCCCGGCGGGCGACTCAAGCTGACGCTGCGTATGAAGCGCAGTCCCGTTATGGATGAGATAATTGAGTCAGGGGGCAGCCACAGCGATGACTATTTTGAGCCCGAGTACGAAGTTCTTCGAGTGGAAGGTGTCGAAAACACTGCCTTCTCGCACCGCAAGAAGCGGCACAAATCGAAGGATAGGAGGCGAGAGAAGAGGCTAAGGCTCGCCGAGGCTGAACTACCGCAGATCCCTATGAAGCGACTGCGGCTCAAGTTTGGAAACGAAAGTCACACAATAGACATACCGTCCACTAGCGCAGATTGTCACACATGATGGAGGTTTGTTATATGTTTCTCTTGTTTTTCGATTTGAAAATGTACGGCGAGTTGCTCGGGGTGGAGGCGTTTCAACAAGGAGCGTGAAGGAGAGGCAAAAGTATGTGTTGAAGGGTGTGAAAGAATGCTGGAGAATGAGAAGAAGAAGTAGTGTATGGTACTGAATTATTATTGGCATTTATGGCTTTTCATTATCCTGAAAACTTTTTGAAATAAATTTATTATGAAGGGCAGATTACTTAATTTGTACAAAAATATTACTGCGTTTGAATAAAATTCAGAGAGGATTTTTCCAACTTGTCACTTACACTATTTATAAAATTTTTCTATTTACTTGAAAAAAACAATAATATATAACACTTTTCATGCCATAAATGCCAGGAATAACTCGTGTCTCACCCCAAATATCATTCAGACAATATTAACTGGTACTGAAGGTAATGGTTTGAGTTCCTTGGTACAATTGGATGTTTCGCCCACAATTGCGGTGGGCATCTTCAACGGCGATATTGGCTAGGTTTTTTGGAGGAATTTCTAGATGGGGGCGGGTCGACTGAGCATTCATTGGCAGACTGGTTTTTGGCAATGTGATCTTTCTTGTTCCAACCAACCAACCTGTCCCATTACCTAATCACATCATGAAAAACCAGTCTGCTAATCACAGCACAGCAACTAACTTGCTGTACTATAATTCCAAAACAGTTGGCTCTGAATTCTCAGTGGCATACCGAAATTGAACTAAACAGGTGTGGAAAAATGATGATGAAATATCGTTGACAATGATGTTTTTTTTAATCCAATAATATTTCTGAGAATTTAGTGCCTACCATTATGGAATTGCACTATAGTTAATCAAAGCACAGCAGTTAACTAGCATCCCATTGTAAAATCTTTCGCAAACAACCATTACCATGTTGCTGCTAAAAATCCCCACAGTAGTTAAGGACGGAACGTCGAATTATATCAGATTTTCGGAGATGACTCAACGAAAACACTACTTCTTCGTGACAGTCGGTGAAATGTTATGATGCTTGATCGAGCTTTCAGGAAAGGATGATTTTTGGAGGCCTGCACTATGTTCTGCGGAAGCATAGAAGAACTGCTTATTTTATATCAAAATATTCACTATAATGACTTTAGGAAATTAATTTTTTTTTTTTCATTTAGTTACTAAATTGAGACAGATGTCGAAATGACACTTTAAATTCGAAATTTCAACTTCAAACTTGAATTCTAAATTTAAATCTGAAATTTCGGGTTTCAACTTAATATTTTGATTAAATGTAAAAATTACGAAATTCAGAAAAATCTAAATATACTTATAATCTCCGAAATGTATAAAGATATGACAAATTATTCAATGACATGTTTTGTTCATTTTCACAAGTACTTCAAGTCTATGTTTTTTTTTTCTGATTGATTCAGCCGTTACTTGATGAAGATCCATAGTAATTTCATAAACTACACCTCACGATTTGATCGTCACAAATTTTATTTGAAAAATATATCACGACATGTTTCGCTAACACAGTAGCTTTATCAACAGTGATTCAAGTCACATTAACAGTGATTCAAATCAATGTTGATACATCTACTGTGTAGCTTTATCGACAGTGATTCAAGTCACATCAATAGTGATTCAAATCAATGTTGATAAATCTACCGTGTTAACGAAACATGTCGTGATATATTTTACAAATAGAAGTTTGTGTAAATCAAATCGTGAGGTGTAGTTTATGAAGAAAGTCTATGTTCTTATATAAGAAAATTTGTTCACATCATCAAGTATTACTATTAGTACTAGTCTATCAAATATATCTATAACAAATCCCAAATATAAAGTTTTTGTTTCTTAATATGAAATGCTTCTTAATTTCGAAACTAACCATCGATTTGTTCGATTTTGAAAAAACTACTGACACAAACATTGTAAAAAATATAAAATGAGGTACTATATCAGTGTAAAGGTCCATTATCTGTTCAATGTCAGAGTTATAAAGTATTAGTCGAAAATTCAAGTTTGATTGAGATCAAATTATCTATTTCAAAATAAGCTGGTTCTTTTAGGCTTCCACATTTTTTTTTAGTTTAGCCCAAACTTTGTGAGTAGCGAATGGATTTTGGTAAGAAGGTTTGTTGAGAAGTACCTATGTGAAAATATAAAATATTTTTGTTCAGCTCCAAATTTTGAGCAGGAGCCCTTGAAAATATGTTTTGAAGTCATTCGCCAAATCAAACAGCTTGATTGTTTGAAAACAATTTTTTACATTACAGTTTTAGTGGCATTGATTTCTGAAAAATTTATAAACATATTTCAAAAACAGTTTGATGACTGAGGAAAGAAGAAATGAATGTGCTAAGAAAACAAACATAGAATTAATTGTATTTCCTGTCCAGAAATGTTAAAGTTGATCAGTTTTGAAGTACCAACCAGAAGAACTCATTATGTTGATTTATTCAATATATCATAGCACTAATTATGGCTTTTATAATTCTTTTTTGTTGATAAATATTGAAAATTATTGTTGAGTCCATAAGTGTTGTCAACAATAAAGCAAAGATATTTTAATAGACTTCATAAATGCTAATATTTATGATATTAATAATAAATTGAATTCGTGTTTTGTTATAGCCATTGTTTGGTTTTATTGCCATTCATTTTAAGTCCATCCATATTACAAAATTGTGATACTTTGTGCAATTTTGTGTTCATTTTTCAGCAAATATATTGATAAATTAACAATATCTATTGAAATTGATGTCATTTAAATACAACATGAATGAGAGAGGGCCCAATATACTTCCCTGAAGAACTCCTATATTAATATTTATCTCAACCGATAATACATTATATACTTTTCTTTGTTGCAACCCATTCAAAATTACTTTGAAAAATAAAATTATATAACTACAAATACCATAATATTCAAGCTTTGCAAGTTCCTGATTTGAGAATCTTTTAATAGGGTGATTAATTAAATTATAATTTATGTTTATTGATGTCACACACATTCACTATTTTGAAATATATAAATTTATTCATATAAATGTATCAATTATTTTGAGTATAGCTGAAAATACCTCCAAATCTTTAAAAACAGTCATAACTACTCATATTAAGATTAGTTTGATACCACAGAAAAAAAAATTGCAAATCATGGTTTTCATTCAGTTCTAAAAAACCAAATTATTTTTTTATTAGAATTCTTATAATTATAATTTCAATGAGCCTTTTTCCTGGGAATAGTACAGCAAACGTGTCACGAGAGGCAGCACTAATAGTAGGGACAGACAATAAACTATTCACATGTAAAACAGTGTTATTTACGTAATATTAATTACGTAATTAATTATTTTGTGCTAGTATAATGCCATTAAAGCATTGCTGTTTTGCGAATTTTACGTCGGATAATCGATATCCGGAATAAAACGGGTTTTTTATACCATTTATAAAACCTCATAATAATGAGGTTAGATGTAAGAAATGAATACATGCTTCGAGGAGAGTGGATTTAACAGTGCAAAAAATAAATGAATATTCACATGTATGCTCTAAACATGAAATGAATAGTAAATTGTTTAAATTTCTTGTATTACAATTTGAATCTCCCGCTACTCGTTTACTAGAGTCTGTATACTAACCTGTCTATTAATTCACTTTTTTTCCTTTAACTTTTAGATTACGGCATGCAAGCCAACGTTTTAATGTTACAACATTGTTATCCTTTACAGTTGCAAATTTTAGTTTTGCTCCAGGAAAATTTTCTTCTGTTAAAAACGTTCTTTTTTAATTGTTCTTTACCATATGTTTATATGAGGATTAGGCAGTGTTTGTCCCTACCGAACTACTATTGCTGCTAGTGAGTGATTTTTCGAACTTCAGGAAAAAGGTTCATTAGAAAGATGTTCTTTGATATGAATAAGTACGTCATGATATCTATGTTAAACATTTTTATTTGTTGGTTATAAATAATTGACAGTTTGAAGCAACAGTTATAGATGAGAAAAAAATATTTCAAAATAAATCTCCACGCTCGATAATGAATTATATCCAACAGACATTTATACCAGATACCACTGTGAGACTAACTTTTGTGGGGTATCTTGCATAAATGTCTGTCGGATATAATTCAATATCTAGCTTGGTATTAGCCGGGGAAGTAGTTGTTTTTCGACATGCATTTACCAGAACCTATGGTGGTGGTAGTTGAGAGATGAATATTTCGAAATATTTATTTTTATGTATCTCTCCTCAATACAGCCATTAGACATGGTTTGATCTCTGTAGCAGTTATAGTTATATAATAAACAGATTTAGGACTAAAATGTAGATTTGTATAATACTCATACCTTTCAATGATTTACATGTTTTTCCCAAATTCTAGTGGAAAAGGAAAATCCCCAAAAATGTTTGTTGTTTATAATTCACAAGTTTTTGTCATTATTTTTTATTTAAGTAGTAGTTCCAAAATCAAAAGTATTTTTAAAGATCACTTCACCAACAAACCTTCCGATATAAGTGAATGTAGTAAATGTTTGATATTCATATTTTTCTCTTTGTACTGAATGCAGTTTGTTTTGTGAAATGCTTCATTTTTATCTTTAAGAACCTGTCATGTCAAAAAATAGAAAATATCAAAGCAGCTCGTTCTGCCTAGTTTTTTTAAATATCTTCACGAGTACTGAATCTGGCTTTAAAATAAAATTCTATGTGTATTGAAATCAAGTGAACCATAGAACATTCCAGTGAGAACTTCAGCTTGAAATCAATACGTTGTCACTCTAGTGGGTATGTATATTGCTAAAATTGCAAGATCTGTTTGGCAAAGACTGTATTTTATTTATTTTAGTGTGATTAAACGGGCAGTGAGAAACATTTTTAGAAAAATTTTAGAACGACAATTTCAGTTTAGGTAATTTTTAGGTTTAGGTTAATTGTAAATAGTTCACTTATTTATTTTTACAAGCATTTATCTGAAAACTGTATTATTTTTATATTTTTTGATTCATTTCATTAGTATTATTTTATATCTATAAAAAATTGCATATATACCTCATTGAATTAGTTGAGAGGCGTTTTGTATTTAGATAAATTCTTGTTGAAATTTACTGTTGAAATTTTATCTGGAATATTAAGCATCTGTATAAATTGGGCGAACAGCACAACCTTGTAAATAACAATTGTAATCTGTGTAAGAAATCAAGCGAAACTGTAATCTAGTTTGATTACCTCATCTTTATATGTAAATCATTTCATCTGTTTTGTATTCTTTATTGAACCAGTAAATTCCATGCAGATGAGTTCCTAGTATTCTTGTACTAAGCTTTCTGTATATCCAGCATCATCTATAATATAAATTTTTCATTTCGTAATATGTAGTTTTACTTCTATCATATAGTAAAGAATAGAGGTGAAAATGATATGATACCTCATTTCATATCTCAGGCAATGATCTGTATGGTACTATCAACAAGATGAACGATTCCCTATCAAAACTACAAGTATATTTCAATATTAACAAAATGAAACTCAATGTGACAAAATGTAAGGCAAATATCCTAACTACACCCTTTAAATACAAAAACATTCACTCAAACCAACTCAATCTGGAAATAGATAACAATAAAATTAAACTCATAAATCATTTTAAATATCTTGGATTCATACTTGATAATAGCCTATTATTGCATGAACTTTTTTTCCTACATAGTAGGGAGGGTGAGTGTAAGCCCACGCACTTAGGCCACATGTGACCCATTGTACATCCTCCCGAGGAGTTGTCCTCCTAGGTCGTCGTCCATCCTGTCCTTTCCAGGAAGGTGGACAGGTCGCTGGGAGACATCTCCTTTATATCGGCAGGTGTAGGCCAAGACTCGCCGAACACACACTCTCTTATTGACGATAACTCCGGGCACTCGCACAGGACATGCCTGACAGTCTCATCTTCCTGTTCACACATGTTGCATAGAGGTGTGTCCACTAGCCCCATATTATATAGGTGTTTCCTTAGCTGACAGTGGCCAGTCAGAAATCCTACTGTAAGGCGTAGATTTTTCCTGGTCATCGGCGCCAGCTTCCCAGGGTCGCCCAAGGTGATCCTGGCAAGATTACATCCTTTGATTTCATCCCATCTCTTTAAAGATTGAGCATGGGTGTAACATTTGACTAGTTCCGCAATTGTTGAAGTCATCAGGCCGTGGGTGCCACTTAGTCCTAAAATTCTTAGTCCAGCCGCTTCCTTGGCTAAAGAGTCGGCAATGCGATTACCTTTACTCCTGTCGTGCCCTTTAACCCACCTCAGGATAATGTTATTATCTACCGAGGCTTTGGCTAAGTCTTGGTGGCACTCTAGTGCTAGCCCTGAAGTAACACAGTGTCTGTTCAAGGCTAATAGTGCTTGTCTGCTATCAGTGCAGATTATGTTTTTGCCAGAAATTCTTTTCTTGGTTATTTCTTTTGTGGCGATTGAGATACCAGCCAGCTCTGTTTGGACCACGCTGGTATTTCTTCCCATTCCCCACTTAATCCTTAGGCTTAGTGATCTGGAGTACACTCCACATCCTGAGCCTTCTTTGGTTTTTGAGGCATCTGTATAAATCCGTATTGCATTTGTAGCATCTGACTCTGTGTTCTGCTTAATTTGTATATTGTAGGGTTTATTAAACACAAACCTGGGTTCAATTGCATCACTTGTTGCCTGCAGCAGAGGTTGCGCAGTAAACATTTCCCGCCATAGGCCCAACCTCAATCGACTCATTCCCACTTCTAGGTTTACACCAGCCGTGTGCAATCGTACCATGGCCATTAACGCAACCTCCTTAACGTACAGGTCCAGAGGGGTCAGACCCGTGATTAATTCCATTGCCGCGGTTGGTGTTGTTCTCATGGCTCCTGTGATGTTTAAACAAGTCAGTCGCTGTATTTGATATAATTTTTGGATGGCCGTTGCTTGTAGAACTTTCCTGGTGAAAAGGACCATCTCAGTCTTCTTGGGATTGATCGACAGTGAGTGTTCCTTACACCATGTTTCTATCAATTTGAGCCCATCCTGCGCTCTATCGCACAGTGTGTTTACAAATTTGCTGGTCTGCAAGATAACTATGTCATCTGCGTATACAATTGTGTAGAATCCATTTTTGTTAAGGTGATTAATTAGGGTATCCAGAACTATGTTCCAGAGAAGGAACATAGTTCTGGATAAAGCATAAATTTTCTGTGTCCAAGGGAGGAGGGGGGCGTGACTCCTGGCTGGATCCATCACTGTAGTGTAATGGCACCTAACATTCACTAGATTTGGTATCAAAAACTTGTATGATACATTATTTCAATTAGTTCTCTCATCTAGGTAAGAGGTGGCGTCACTTGAACCGTTTTTCTCCAAAACAGCTTCCTTTCATCTACCTTCTGAAATATTCCACCAGCCAAGGATTAGGATTTTTTCATAAAAACAGCGATAAAATGTTAAAATTTATAATAACGTATCAAGACACCAAAGTCATCACTGCATTAATAAAAATAAAAGAGCAATCTGTCACAAACATGAAGTAATAAAATATTGGGAAAATTTAAACAAATCACGTCAGGGAACTAAGATGCCTCCAAGATAAACCACACATATTCTTAAATTTAGCTACAATTCCCTGCTGGCAGGCCTTTGTTAGGTTGTGACTGAGATCGAAGGGATCTTGAACACAGAACAAGGAATTTATACGGAACTGTTCAGGCTCCTTGCTACTCAGCTGCTGAACGTAGGTGTGCATCACAGGTGGAAGTCTTTCGCCTTTGCCTTCAAACAGATTCTTGTTGATGGTATATCCTAGCAGAGGGCAAACGACCTAATGAAAAGAAAAGATTACATGGTAAACAATTTGAACTTGAAGTAAATATATCTTTTATTATTCCCAAAGAGGTAATCAAACATGAAATAAGCATACAATACACACCAAACATATTGAAAAAAACGCTAATGAAATATAAGTATATTCGGGTTCGTACCGGCCAATTCTAGGATGGTTGATATAGTTACACAACTATTTATTCAGAATTGGCTCGCACATAACTTTGTAAGGTTCATGGGCGACTGTTTCTTACTGTTCTAGGTTTGTTCCGATGACGAACCTGAATATGCCTATATTAAAGTTAACGAGAAAAAGTGACAATCCAAAGGATAGTTAAGTTTGGAATCGAATTGGAAAAATAAGTGTTTCAAATGTTAAAGAGTCAGAATAAAGAGGTTTTCAAAAGTTTAAAATTTCAATAAGCAACGATTTTTTATTTTGTGACCAATAAAAATGGAACATCGAGCGCGTTAAAAGATTATTTTGTGTCTGGAGACTATCGAGGATAGATACATACTAAGAAAATGAATATTTTGACAAAAAAATCTCGAAGCATTCATCTTTTCTAACAAACCTACACCATAGGTTTTGGTAAATACCTGCCAGAAAGCAACTACTTCCCCGGCTAATACCACGCTGGGTACTGAATTATATCCAACAGAAATTCATTTATGACAAGACACCCATTTCTACAATTTTCAATTTAAATTGTCATACAATAATAAAACAAACTAAAATTGAACAAATTCATACTAGAAGTATCGCTTTATTGTGTTATACTATCAAAATAGAATCAATAAAATCGTATCAGTAAAATAGTAAATTTGAGTGACAAGGATAATGATTAATGGTGTTTGGATCTTGTTATCCTCCTTTCGGTTTGTTCTTTTCTTTGCTGGATAGTTATTACAAATACAATAATAATATTGTGGCAAGAAGCACACTTACCTGCTTTTCATAATCAAATTTGGAGTAATAGTCGAAAAAATCTTTGAGAAGTCTGGAAATAGAATGCTCATAACGTGAAACGTGATTTTTAATTTGATGTACCGGCATTTTGTAGTTGATAGTTTCCCACCCTACAAGAAAAAAAAATGTATTAGCTACATTCAATAGGACCTTGAAAAATAATCTCTTCTATTGCTCAATTCAAGGTGTAGCATAAAAAGAGTATGATTGAATTGGAGTACTCAAAAATTGAACATACCATTAATGGTTTGAGCTTCAGCAGGATTCAATTCTTTGATTTTCTTGACGGAGAGTAGATAATTGTTGATTTGAAGGTAGAATATAGCCAAGAGAGCTAGAGCATATGTCGTTATGTGCTCTTGTAGGTTATTGTAGAATGACCACTTTTTCAACATCAAAATGAACGGTTGCGTAATTGGTTGAATGTCTATGCAAAACCTGAAAAAAAATGTTGAATAAATTCTCATGAATAACCATCAACTGCCTTTTCAAGTTTATTTTTCAAAATGTGTATTTAATCAATGAATCTGGACTAATGAGAGTTGATGAGATTTAGGATTTGGGTATTATTTTTTATAGCCTAACATAACCTAACTTTCAGAATTCATATAAACAAAATAGTGAATACTGCATCAAGGAATATAGGCTTTATTGTCAGGAATAGTAGACAATTCTCCTGTGCTACACTTAATTCATTATAATGCCATTTAGTCAGACCTTCACTAGAATATGGCTCCATTGTTTGGTCTCCTTACTATCAAACACATATTGACAGTATTGAACGAATTCAGAAAAGGTTTCTAAGAACATATTCAATTCGTATGGGCACCTTTGTGCCCAGTTTGATTGATTGATCTTTTACATAGAAATGTATGACAGTATCACTATCTTAAAAGTAGATTTGGTTCAAACTTTACACAGAGAATATAATTCAAAATACGACTCCGAATATGAACCACTTCGCCACATACCTGATAAATTTCGTATTTTCAACACTCAATCCGTGCCGGAAAGACAGATCACACTCTATCCTAGCTTTCCTATGATACAGTTTGACAATCGGTGTTCGAGCCGTTGGAACTTGGCACACCTCTTGAAATTCCTCCCTCAGCTTGGTCAAAGCGGCCGCAGCTTTCCTGACAAGCTGTACTTGTGCCAATGGGTCTTGGTTCTTGTCACCCAAGAACATGTCGCCTGTGTCAACAAATACATCCAGATCGCTGTGCTGAAAAAAATAATATTAATGATATTAATGAAATGCTTCCAAAACAACCACTGCTCCCAAATACCAGAATACAACCCTCTCTCGACGTGCCTGCCAGTAACCAAGTTGGCGCCTTCAGGAGATGACGTAGATTAAATCCTAACTCAAAACTTCGTCTATTTACATTCAACAGGGTACACTTTCACACATATCAATGATTTCTCGAATAAACGTTTTTTGATTTTTTATTGTGAAAGTTACCGCTATTTTTTTTATGATGATTTATATGATTTACTCTACTTCAACTCCTGAGGATGCACCAACGCATTGAGAAAGAGTGTTGAAGTCCTTGCATCAAAAAACCTCAAAGTATTTTGTGAAATAGTTGAGTCGGGAGCATTTGAGTAATCAAAAATAGCTATTCAAAATACTAAAAAGCCTGAACTTGTATATTCTTTTAAATTATTTGTCTCAGGCTTTACACTTTTCTCAGTAATTTTATGTCAATGATGGCAAATTCACTCAAGTTTCAATCCTAGCATGCATCCTTTTATTATTTTACAACACAAAGGAGTAGTGGCAATGAAATATCTTTATGTTTACGGCCTATTGGCAGTTCACTCTTTCAAATTTCAATTTTTATTCATATTCAATTTGGGCACGGATTTTTTGTTCAATTGAAGATGATGAAGTCAAATTTGCAAGTGTCAAAACATACTCACTCACCGATAATAATAGAATTTCAATAAATTGATGGATGTAGCCGTTACTACGTGGAAGGAGTTCATCATGAAAAAATGAGAGATAAAACTTGCTATGGTTTTATAGCACCTGTATACAAGTTTTATTTCTCATTTTTCATGATAATAGAATTTATTCAGCAATTAAAGATTATACAAGGCATCATACATACACACGTGTATAAAACTTATCAGAGTAGTCAAAAAAGAAAAAGGTAATCTGAAAATAAATTAAGATAGTGTAGGTATAGTCGCAAAACAAACCAAAAAAATTATACATACAATACCTAGTCAGTTTCACAATAGTAAGGTTTCAGGAATTATAAAATTCTTCAACCTTATAAAATACTTTTTCAAGAAGGATATTTCTCAATTCATTTTTGAATAGAATGTCATTCAGATTCTCATCTCTTATTTTATTGTAACATTGGATACCAACATGCTTTGGTGAATTTTCACAGACCTTGCATAGGGTTATCAGTCAGAATATAATGGAAGATGTAGTATTTGTAAATTCTCAAATAAAAATTTACATGTTGTAGTTGGAAGAGCATGACACATTGTTATTATACGTTTTTGAGATACAAATGCCCTCTAGAATTGACAAGATGACCCCCAAAAGATCAAACCAAGTTCAGCCAAGCCATCAAGCCAAGTCAGAGTAGACTGAACTATTTCAAAATATAATAGTTTCAGGGCGACTCCTGATACAGTATCTCGCAGATTTTTTATTATATAGCATGTCGTGGTTGGTTTTAAATATACAGTGTTTATGTGTACTTTCCATGTTAGCTTACTATCCAAATGTACACCAATCTGTGGTCTCCACAGATTGTATAGATTTACCAGATAAGGTTAAGTATAGACTATGATTTGGATTTATATTGTTTGGCAAAAACCAGACATAATTTTTTTTTATTCAGGACGAGGCCATTCCTATTCATTGGATGCCTCATTACTTAATTTTGTTAAGTGGTCAATGTTATTGTGTGACATCAGAATATTAGTGTCATCAGCATATATTATCATTTGATACGCGGAGGTACAGGTGTCATCAATGTCACTGTCAATGTCACGGCTATTAACAATAGTGGTCCCAATTATTCATATTCATATAACGGCTTTATTCCCAGAACTCTTAGATTGGCTAACTCTTTGAACAACCTTCAAATCTTTAATATATCAGCATCCCGCTTTAAAAACCATATTCTTTAAATACACGTATACATTTTGATTACCTAACATCTGGAAACGTTCCAGAGGTGAAAAATTTATTTAATGAATATGATAAATGAATCTTACAATTTTCTTGGTATTTCAACTGTAGGTATAGGAAAAATTCAACTCATAAACACTACTGACTACTATCAATTCATCAATATTGTTGTTTCACGATAGAATTCTGAACAATTATTCATTGAATTTTTTTTTTTTTTGGAAAGAAAGTTTTTGGCTTTCTACTACTCCATCTTGATCGAAAAAACAAGGATGCGGGAATCTTCCAAAGAAAGGAAGGAAGTAATCAATTTTAAAATAAGTAACTCTATACATGGATGTGCAGATCATGCAAAGAAGTAACTTTCAGACACAAACTGAAAGAAAGTCCTCCTGAAACAGCTACTTTCATATAAACATTGAATTACAAGAAAGAAAAACTTCTTTCGAAACAAATACTTCTATATGAACACTGAATTATACAGAAGACACTTTTCTCTACTCAGTTTGTATTTCAAACATTCGTTGTGGAATAAATATCAGATATCATTCACATGAGTTCTATTTTAAATGAATGGTAATAAATTGTACTCACATAGAACACTGTCACCCTCACTGGTATACACCGATGTTTCGCCTTAAGACACTTGCCCTAAGGCTCTTCAGTACCAAATTGGATAACATTATAGAAAATACACACAGTTCATTCATGAATTACGATTTTTAATGTCACGAAATAAGCTTAATCTGCTTATGTCATCGATGACATCGTAATGTCATTCATTCACCTATTTGATTTAATTCCCTCATCCTTGTTTTTTCTATCAAGATGGAGTAGTAGAAAGCCAAAAACTTTCTTTCCCAAAAAAAAAAAAATTTAATCACTCCTAAAAATATAACCCCTTCAGTTCTTTATATATTATTAAACATGTTAATAGATCCAGAAAAATGCGAACAAATATACATTTTGATTGATTTACCTCATTTCCCAAGCCTGAAATTCTAGAACCAAAAGGATGAACATGACACCCCGGAAAAACTGAACTGAGGGCCTTTTCCAGACTGGTACAACATTCCTGTGTCAACTGTTTGCCATTCAAACTGTTATTAGCTTCATCAAGTAGCTTCATACTTTCAGCCTCAATATTTTCCACTGACTTGAACATTCTCTTGACTTGTTCAGGGAGCTGTGGTTCTGAAATGATAATTATTATTAGAACCATTTGCAAAATGATAAAATTAATGCAATAACCAAATTTATCAATAAATTTGAATACAATTTCATCATGTGTATTTCAGGAATTAAAGCCTTATGTTTTCAATTTTAGTTACTTGGTTGCATCATTAATTCAAATGAAAATGGAATGTGCATGATTTTTTTTAAAATCAGCTCTAAAGGTATGTATTGCTCCCATTGAGTGACTGCCAAGGAGCAAATCAAATATGCCGTATTTTCTGAGACTGATGTTGCAAATGAAAATACGAGCACTTTATTATGTAACATAGTGAAATAAATTATCTATCTATCTATCTATAATAGGAAATATGAAATTTATAGAGTCAACTCTTAATGTCTGAATCTAAGTATGGGTGTACCTCTACTGTTTATACTTTCAATGCAAAAAAAAAGAAGTTATTCCTATTCACAATTTGCAAAACAGAGTGGAAAGCATATATTTCATGGTGAAAAATGTGACCCTAACAAATACTGATCACAATGTAAGATTCTTGGGAATCATTCTAAACGAGTTCCTCAACTGGAAAGCTCACTGTTAATTAATTTCAAAAACTTCATTCATTGAAGTATCTCTTCATCAACTTACAAATAGTTTTAACAAAGAGTCAGTTGCTCAATATATATTACGCTCAAGTAGAATCCAGACTTAGATATGGTGTCTGTCTTTGTGATGGATCTTGCTCAGTAGGAAATGTTTTTATAGCAGAAAAGGGAATTTTGAGTTGCATAGCAGATTGTTCAAACACAGAATCATGCAAGGCACTTTTTGAGGAGTACGGTGTCCTAACTTTTAACATCAGTTTATATTTTTGAACTGTGTATTTATGTGTTCAAAAATTAATCAAATTTTACAACAAATTTAAAATTTCATCAACATGATACTAGAACCAAGAACCATTTTCATTTGCCCTTAGCATGTGTACAGGAATACATTGGTCCAAAGATAGATTCTAGATCATTTAAAGGTATTGAATATTTTTTTGTGTTAAAAAAAATCATTATGTTAGTTTTAGAGTATGAGCCTGTATTCTCATTTTCTTTTTTAATTTTTATTTTGTATTGACACTTCCTACATAATTTTATTGTCCGACTGGAAATAAAGAATTGTTATTATTATCTCGAAATCTAGAAGTTAAATTGATAATCGAGAGTGAGTAAATTATTTTCCCAACCAATTCAACGAATCATGTTTTGTTCAAATCGGTAGAGATAATTCCAAAAAAATTTAAAAAATTGGAAAGAGTCGAAGTGATACAAGCGAGTTGAACATCGGTGGAGGAATATAAAGAAATTTTTAGAGGCAATCCGAGGTTTTGATATTTTTTTTAATAACCAACTCGACAAGTTCAGAATAGCACTTGACAACTAAAGTGAGGCTTACATTTAGCCATTTTTCATGACATGAAATACTTTATATAAATAGTATCCAAACTTATAAACAATTAACATTAAACAACTGAAAGAAATCAGTTCACTTACCTTTCTTTTCATTCTTCTTGTCTTTTCTTGATCTGTCTGAAATATGCCGTGCCAAGGAAAGTTCATCGCCAAATATGACCATAAGACACTTTGTGCATTCATATTCCGTTACCTTACTTTTACGACTTTCTGCCATGAGGACATGCCTAGAAACAAAGAGTTTTTTTTCTAAAAAAATGTTTTGATAAACGGATGCTAAGGTTTGTTAACAGACACACTTGCCATGCAGGCCAGGGTTTTCATGTTACGTTGGAAAAGATAAAACTATATTGGTCAAACCAGAAAAACTATGAAAACTTGTTTCAGGGAAAATACTGCAAATATCATAGCTTTTGAAAAACAGACTCGTTCTTTAGGTAACGACAGCTACAAATCAAATTCATTGTATTAAATTTGACCACAAATGGAACACTAGCAATTTTTTTATTGAATTTGAGACTTGGCTCACCTGTTAGGACCTTCTGTGAAGTGTTTATTCCAAGCAACTTCGTCAGTAAATTTAACATTGCAAATTTCACAATAGAACGTATACCGAACCAAAAGCTTTGACAATCCTTGATGACTGCTCAATCTGATGTGTTTTTTCAACATTTCCGAATCTTTCGCCAGGTTCACCTTGCAAGGTTGGCAGCTCAGGATATTTCCGTTTTCTTTGAAAAACTGGAGATGCTCTCTGTATCGGTGCGGAATCCAATCAGCCACATTTTTGCTCTTTTGGTTTTCAACAGATTTCACAATAAGATGTTGGGATTCCTTATTATCTACAAAATAAAAAAATTGTTTCGATAATGAATATTTTTTCAGTAAACTATATTCTTCTTTGGAAAGTGTCCTGGAATGTTTGAATAAAAGGTGAATTTGCTCTATTCTCATGACTATCTGTCCCACTATGTATCCTATAATAGACAAACTTGAATTCTTTCATTAGTACATCATGTAATATATTTATTATTAATTTGTTAACAATAAAATGAAACATATATTATCAACATAGAATGAGATGACGCCATTTGATGTTACAAGAAACAAGTGGAGATATAAAAGAAAATGTATGAATATTTCTTTTAAAAATTGTGATTGTGATTGTTCAAATTTCGCGGGCTACATACACTCGATTAGCGATTTTAATTTTTTTATGTTGGTACACTCGTCTCGAATATATGTTCACAGCTTTAGCTGTTTAGCATGTTTAGTTTGTTGGTGAGAGACATAAACGTTAGAAGTGTTTTTCATGTTGGGCGAAAGAATTTACATCATATATTCTGTAAAAAATGGAATTGAGTGATCAAAAACCAGAAAGCTTTTCACAGAAAGTCGAGAAGATATAAATGACGACGTCCGCCCTGGACGCTCCAGCAAATCAAAAACCGATGAATATAAGGAGTATTATCTTAAAGTTATGCGCCGTTTGCAAGAAACAATACGAAAAAAAGTCCGGTATTGTAGAAAAACTATTCATAGCTTTTGTATCACGATAATGCACCTACTCACTCGTCGTTGCTTGTTCGTAATTTTTTAGCCAAAAACAACATCGTAATCATATCTCGGCCACCATATTCACCAAATTTGGCCCCATACGACTTTTTCCTGTTCCCAAGATTGCAGATATTCATGAAAGGACGGCGTTTTGCGACGATTGAGGAAATGAAAACTGAATCGCTGCATATCAGAACAAAATAGAACCTGATGAATAAATAAATATTTTTGAGGAAAATGAAAATTCATAATAATAACAATATTAAATCGATTATTGCCCAACAGCATTCACCCATTTACAGGATATAAAGTAATATAAAGTAAATAATCAGTACAGTATATTAATGAAATGGTAACAATGATCCAGCACGTAATCCACAAAGGAAACAACAACAACAACAAAACCACAAAAACGTCGACAGCATTTATTTTGTTAATGATTACAATATTCCTATAAAGAGTTCGCCTCTATTCTTATTCACTTTATTTATTTTTCATGTTTCACAATTAGTTATCCCGCAAATAAATAATTGTTAGAAAACAATTGGCTCAATTACAATTTGTGACTTACTTGGTTCACCCATGATCGTTATGGTGTCCCCAGAAATTCACTAGAAATACTTCGAAATCGACGAAACAGTCTCATATCTAGTGACAAAGATAATAAATGAAGTATTCACTATTCACAAAACATTTTTGCTGATTCGACTTGAATGAAGATAGCGCCGGACGACAGCGCCAGAAGATAGCGCCCGCCCCCCACTCTCGAGTACGATTTACACCATACAAAATGGATTGTTGATTCATGAGGATCGTTAATTTGGCATCCAATGATTGAATTGAAAAGGGGAAATTTTTAGGACAGATCAACTATTTGGAAAGATAGGTTTTGGCTTTCTACTTCTCCATCTTCATGCCAAAAAATGTGTGAATCTTCCAAAGAAAGGAAGAAAACAATTGTTTCAAAAATTCCGTTTTTATGAGTACTTCAAACAGTAAGTAGTATATAGGCGCCATTTGAATCAGTGCATTTTTGGCAACGTTAGCCGTTTTTGCCAGGTCTTGATTTTCATATTTGCCTTCCAGAACCAGTGTTATTTAAAAACAGCTCAAATATTTCATGAAAGGCATCCGGACAAAAATGTAAGTCATGTGTAGGTCCGCGATTTAGTAGCAAAGTTTAGATAAACGGGATCAGTGCAAAATAAAAAAAGGAATGCCCCAAGATTACTGAATGAAGCAACCCAAATTGAGATCCTTAGAAATTTTGCAATGGAGCCTTCTGTCGTATCGAAAGTTTCCGATAAAATTGGAGTGTGTTGCGCTTAGCTTGAATACCAAAAATATATAGTCGATGAGATGGCAGCAGGCCAAAACAAAATTGTCCTTCGCCTGCCTCCATACCACTGCGAGCTCAATCCCATCGAGTTAATATGGGCGGATGTGAAGAATTTTGTAGCTCAGCATAACACCACGTTCAAATTGGCAGATCTCAAAGTACTTTTTGATGAGGCCTTGAAAAGAGTCACAGCGGAGAAATGGGAGAAGTGTGTTCGACATGTGATATCGGAAGTCGAGACAAAGATGTGGAAGCTTAATAACATAATAAAGGCACAAAACGAGCCACTGATATTCAGATTGGTGAGGATGACACTACTGATGAAGAGACAAATTCATCCAGTTTGATTAATATTCCTTTTGATTTTACATAAAATAAAAATTATTAACAAAGAAATAATTACGTCTCTTTTCATATAATGCTTGGGTGCGCTGTGAAAAATCCAATGAAAATCTTTTTATATTACACATATTATCTGCATTTTCCCCGTTAAACTGCAAAACTTGTGCATTTCACTCGTTATTATAAAAAAGTTTTCCTAAGTATGATATAGCATTTGCGATCAACAAGATGTTGGTTCTGAATACTACCCTGGCCAATTCTTGGGATTTTCAATATCACGTGCGTTTAGGCGATGATGATCCAAACCGACGAATTGAATTTTGTGAACTCATGACTGAAAGAATTCGCGTTGAACCAAGAATGTTAAAAAATATTTGTTTCAGTGATGAATGTACTTTTATGCTGAATGGTAATGTAAATAAACAAAACTGTCGGTACTGGAGTGATGCGAACCCGCCGAGATTTAGAGAAGGTCACACTCAAATTCCTGAAAAACTGAATGTTTTGGGCAGGAATATTAGGCGATGCTATAATTGGCCCATCGTTCATACCAGGCAATTTAAGTGGCGACATTTATCTCGATATGCTGGAAAACACCATCGAACCTTTAATTGTGCATGAATTAGAGAACCAAAGGGTCGACCAAGGCAACCTAGCTGTAGACGAAGATTTGTTGCACTTCCGACAAGATGGAACACCTCCTCACTATGCAGTTCCAGTTAGGCAATGGTTGGATACTAATTATCCGAAAAAATGGATTAGAAGGAGAGGTCCCATTGAGTGGCCACCGAGGTCACCAGACTTGGCGCCACCTAACTTTTTTCTGTGGGGTCACCTCAAGTCAGTTGTTTATAAAACTCAACCTACGTCACTTGGGGAATTGCGAGAAACAATTACGCGTCATTACTACAACAACATTTGCCCAAAGTTCGTGCAGAATTTGAAAATAGTCTGTATTATTATTTACAAAACAACGGAACCCACGGAATATTTACTTAATTGAAATTTTCAATAAATTTGCAGTTCAACAAAAACCTCATTAAATATTCCATTTAAGCATAAGTTCTTTTTCATGTCAGTTTAGTTCCCCCTAACTATCCTAGAAACGGTTTCAAGCATTTTTCGATATCAGCTTTCGTTCGTGAGATATAGCCCATTGCGCGTTTTAAAATTGACACACTGTATATTTTATCATCACTTTTCCTCATCTGCTTGGTATAATTACCGCCACTACAAGAGACAGATTGAAGTAAAAACGTCAGCCATTTCTAAGAATTTAGTGCCTAATATTTTGGAACTATAGTATAAGACTAAGTGAAAAAGGTGGAAAGAGAAACCTTGTATTTGAACTTGAATTTTCAGTCCCAGTAAACTGTCACTTGTATCCGAATACGGCCTAGCGAAAAATGTTAATAAAGAAATGATACACTGAATTTTCAGTCCTCCAGAATAATGACATCATAGAAAAAAACACTTCCTCTACGTCACATAAATAATCTTTTTCCTCGTAAATTGTCACTAGTCCCCGATTGATACGTATTGGAAGAGGTTGAAAGAAAAACGATTAATTTTTTTATCGGGAGATGTAGATGTTCTTGCTCTCAAAGAGGATGATGTTACCAAGATGTTGGCGGCTGGAACACATCTTGGAACTGCAAATGTGGATTTCCAAATGGAAAACATGGGAAAACATCTTGTTGGGCTATTGTAGCTATAGAACACCCTGATGAAGTATTCGTCATTTCATTTCGTCCTTATGGACAACGTGCTGTTTTCAAATTTGCCGCACATACTGGAGCTACACCCATAGCAGGAAGAATCACTTCTGGTGCGTTCACTAATCAGATTCAAACCGCATTCAAAGAACCTGGTTTATTGATTGGTACTGATCCAGCCTTTGATCATCAGCCTATTACTGAAGCTTCTTATGTCAACATTCCAGTTATTGCTTTGTGCAATACCGATTCTCCTTTGAGATTTGTTGACATTGCCATTCCTGGCAATAACAAGTCTCCACACAGTATTGGTCTTCTCTGGTGGCTATTAGCTCGTCTTCGTCTTCGAGGAACTATTCAACGCGATACCAAGTGGGAGCTTGTAGTCGATCTATTCTTCTACAGAGAACCTGAAGAGGCAGAAAAGGAAGAACAAGCTGCCAAAGAGGCTGTTGCAGCAGTTGTTAAACCCACTGAAATTGCTGCTCCTCTGGATCCACCAGATATTGACTGGAATACCACTGAAACTGTTTGAAGGTGATTGACAATGTTTCGTGATGAATTTCACTAGTTCGGACTTCCATTGTCTATTATATAAAATGATTTGAAATCCCTGAAACAAGTAAAAAAGAATAATTAAAAAGAACAGTTGAAAATAACAATTATATTAAGCAACAATAAACCTGAAATGAAATGATAGTGAAATAACCTACAAGTAAAAATATAATAATTGAATAAATTAAAATTAAAGGAATGCAAAAAGAAAATAATAAAAAATAAAAAAGTGTAGAGATTCCAAGTCACGTTAGTTCACGACGTTTCGATTGTTGGTATCTACAATCGTCTTCGGGTGATGACTGGACTGATTCCTCCGAGAGATGACTATTTT